AGTAAACAGTTCAAGCGAAAAGTAGGGAATAACTGAAAGTATGCAGATCAAGAACAAAGAGCCTGGCATAGTTGCATCCGGCGAGTAAAATCACTAACATAGGATACCCACACCGATTGTCCGGGCAGTCTTAGTAATCCTGGCATTATAACGAAGTGCGCACTTTCTGACAAAAGAGAGGAAATTTTACTTTTGGTTTTCCTTGGATGTCAAAAGCAACCCCTCACGACACAGAAATGGTAAACTTAGGAGGAAGCATAATTCTAGCTTCTTTTGAACACTATTATCGTTGTAGACCGAGCAACTGGTGAATCGTGAATTGCGATTTTTGAATGCCAAACGCGATGAGTTGTCGAAAATGAAGCGTCTGTTGCATAGTTCAAGCCGTGACCTTGAGAAAGTCGAACAGCTCATCGACAATGACCAAGTGTCCAACATCAAGGTTTCCATTTATCGTTTCCTTGCTGTGAACACAACGCTTGCCATTCATTCATAACCGTTTATCTCAACAAATGACCCCATTTTCATCAGGGGGACGTCCGCCTGATTGTCTCATCGTCAAATAATATTATCATAATAAAATTGTTCGTAACAGAATACTCGTTTTTTATCCAATATAGATTGATGGTCTAATAGTTTGTTATTATCACTAGTACTTGTGGCAGTAATAGTGATGATGACAATAATGGTAAAAAGAATAAACAGCTAAAATAATGGTAATAATATTAACGTCAATAATAGTAATGATAATAATAGCAATAATGATGATAATAATAATGAATATTTTGATCAGCTGCAGTTCATACAGTGATTCTTTAAATGTGCAATTGGCATATGCAGATTCTCAAATTCAAAATCGGAAATTTAATTGTAATAATAATAAACAAGTGTTTTGGTACCTGCGATTTGCGGGGAACTTGACCTACTTCACTATAAGTAGTTCACATAATATCTCCCTGCTTGTGAAAGCAAAGGGGTGGGGGGAGGAAACTTTGTTTCCATATAACAATGCGGAAATGACATCACAAGCCTTTACATTACTCGGAAACGAGGTTTCGGAAAATGTGATGTTGAAAACCTGAAAATTTTCTCCACCAACTCTTTCTTCCTTCTTACTTTAATGCTACTTACAACTGGTACTGTGAATCTTTTGCTTGAGAAGCAGACGAGTGACAAAGCTGAATTTCACACTCATCGAAGA